GGGAATTTTATATTAGAAATGAAAAGAACACTATATGGCTTGAAATTGTTATTTGTGTTAAGCATTCTGATCTCTGGGAGGAAAATCTGTGATTGGAAATGTATCTGTAATCTGCTTGCTATGTACTTGTTCCAAACTCAAACTCTCTAACACTATGTACAAATATACAACTCATGGTTATTAAAAGCATATATATATGATAATGGGAGGGGGAGGGGGGGGGGCAAGGGAAGTGGCAGGATGGCTTACTGTGACCAACTTGGTGGCTAATTTCACTATTTTGAGAGCAGTTTTGCTTACAAGCACTTTCACTCGGTGATTTTTCACATTACATTTAGAGTTGATAACTAGAACTCTTATAAATGTTCATGCTTATGAAACTCACAGATGAGGTTCACATATGTAGTTTCCCATGGTAAATTTTCACATGTCTTAAACTATCACACATGTGGGATAGATGGGATCCTGCTAAGTCTGCCTGAAATCTCAGGTGGGAGATGGGATCCATGTTGGGATTGCCTTGAGTCTGGCATGAGGGAAATAGAATCCTGTAGTTGCATATGCTCATTATTAATTAAATTTAGAAGAATAAACAGAATGATACCTGATGAAATGATAATTCACTGACTTGTTCAAGGAAGAGTCAAGACATGAAACAAAGACATAAACTTAGATAATATTTTTGGTTTACATGTCTCTTTGTGTTTACAGCTTTGTTTGCCTGAATTCTTTAACGAGCTTATTTGAGGATTTCTATTGCAATTCCTTCCAGATCCACCACAGTCTTTTATACAACATTGCCCCAGTCCAGTAACTGAAGGAGATAATGTGAGATTATACTGCAATGCAACTGGTAATCCATTACCTCAAACAGCCTGGATAAAGTCTGGAAAGGTTCTGGTGACAGACAGTGTTTATGTTATAAGAGCAATTAACAGAAGTCAGGCTGGAATATACCAGTGTATGGCTTGGAATGGAATCAGAGGGAATAATACTGCTAATTGTACCATTGATGTTCAATGTAAGTTAATTTTCTACCTTGTGAAGTTCATGGCAAAGTCTTATACTGTATAAATACATCTAAATAGCTAAATCATAAACTTTTGCCAGAATACAAATACTCATTATCAATCTTTTTTTTTGGTCTAAAAGATCATCCAACATCAACTTTGATTACAATACTTCCCACAAATACTACAGTGCTGCATGATCGTACTGTGTCACTGAATTGTAGTACAGATGCCAACCCTGATGCTCATACTTATCACTGGTACTTTAATGGCAACCTTACTGGTAATAGCAACTCTGGTGTGTTTAACATCACTGTGAAGGAAGATGGAGAGTACACCTGTGTTCCTGAAAACAAAGTGGGCACTGGAAGCAATGCGAGTGTTGGCATCACTGCTGTTTGTGAGTTTCATATCAGATTCAGCCCTATACTATGCAGTCAATATAAAGATTCAACCTCACCCCACCACCCCTTCTAGGGCAACCCAGGGGCTGGGCATTTAAATCTTGCATGGATGGGGTTGAGTAAATTTGAACCTTTAGAATATACATGTTCTAAGTTCTAAGTTAAGTATGGAGGAGTTCAAAGATGAAGAGTCTGCTTTGTGAGCAAATGGCCAAGAAGAAAATTTTTTTACATAGATTGATGTTTACTTGTGAAAAACCAAGCAGTAGCACTAATAGCTCATATGTGACTTTGCCACAACATTTGTTGATCACACCAGCAAACAATGACTGTGAATATATAAAAATCATACATGGGAACCGGCTGCAGTGTGAGAAATCAATGTGAAAGCAATCTTTGCAGTGATGAACACCACTTAAGCAGGAGTTAAAATAAGGCCTGAAAAAATTAAAGTGAAAAAAACCATTAAAAAGTGAAGTGGTTGAGTGGGGTAATTGAATGCCTCAAATTAATTGATGCATTAAGACTGAGGATAAAAAAGTGAATATATAGTTAATAGTTATAGTTAGCTCAAACTTGTCTGGTAAAATACATTATCTTGATTCAACACCAAATTCTTGACACTTATTTACAAGGAGATATGTAGCAGCAAGAGGGGAGAATCGACAATCAGACCTTGGGAGCTAAAGGGTTATAGGCACCTCATCTTTACCTGATGCATTCTTTTCCTCGTATTTGTGATATTTTATTTCAGTGGCCCCAGTTACTGAGGTGGTTCCTCAAACTGGCACTGTCATTGAAGGTGGAAACATCACCTTGATTTGTAATGCCAGTGGTGTTCCTTCTCCATCTGTTGTCTGGACTGAAGTTGGCAGCCCGGTCATTTTGTCTCAAAACATTTCACTGACTGTTGCAAATGTAACCAGACCAGGGACAAGAGATAACCTGATCCAGTATCAGTGTACAGCCAGGAATGGAGTGGGCACATCTAGTACAACTACAGTCAGCATTGCTGTTCACTGTGAGTTTATGGTAATCTATTTTTAATCAATGGCCACTAGGGTAGCTGTAAACTGTAACAGTGTAGCATAACAATGAGTAAAGTTTCACTACATGTGTATGGAAATGGAATGCAGATCTCTAGCGATAGAATGCTAATACATGTACATGGTAAAAAGATAACAATTCTGCATGAAAAAATCACCTCTTAGAGAAAGATACAGTCTAACCTTGACTATCTGGACCCACAATTAACCAGACCATTCAACAACTGGAGATTGAATATATTGAATCATTTATTAGGTACAATATGCATTATGTAATTTTTGCCCTCTTGCACAGTGGATAGGCAATGTGCATGCACCAACTATTTTGCATTTGAGTTTCATATTATATCTTTTTATCTGTTCATTGCTTTCCAGTATGCTTATTATTCTAATTATCCCATTGACTTGCCTGTTTTAGCTTTGCAACTATTTCTATAGCTCTAGGGAATTCATTACATCTAATAATTCCTCATGCTAAATCATACCTGTCTAAGTACTGAATATGTATATTTTTTTACTTTAAAGATCTTCCAGAGATAGCAAGATATCCATTCACTTCACCCATCATTGAAGGTGGCAACACCAAGCCTCTGGAAACCCTCGGCCAAACATAACTTGGACTAAGAGAGGAAGCAATAAAACTCTGTCCTATTCAGATGAACTTTCCTTGTCTAATTTAACCAGATTTGATGATAAAACAGAATACAAATGCAAAGCCATGAACTATTTAGGATTTGTTGAAGCTTCAGCTTCAGTTACCATCCACTGTAAGTGAATGTGGTATAGGTTTTTATTATTATATAAACTCTATGTACAGTGAATTTTTTTGTCTTATTGCTGTAAATTCATGGTATCTGTTTACTTGCACTCTGTTGTTCCTAAAGAAAAGAAGTGGTTGTTTGGTTGTTTTTGTTTTGGCTAAGGCATTCATTTTCTTCTCATAATCATGTACAGTTGAAATGTTTGATTTTAGTCTCAATCTGCACAATTATATCTTCTTATTTAGATCCATCTTTGATTGAGTCTGCCTCAGGCAGTCAAGTTGTCCTTGAAGGAAACAACTTGACTTTACATTGCAATGCAAGAGGCAATCCTACACCAAACATCACTTGGACTAAAGATTACAGCTCATCAGTGCTAAATCAAGGAATTACTTACAGTATTGTGAACATAGGAAGAAATGCTTCAGGGAATTACACTTGTACCGTTTGGAATGGAATTGGTGGACAAAAGAAAGCTATTGCTGCTATCACTGTACACTGTGAGTTTTCTCGCTGTATCAGTAATCATTATTCATGTGAGAAAAAAGCATTTTACAGAACTTTTGTCTACACGAAGGTTAACAATTCAACTGAATAGTGTTTTATCCAGATCAAAATGTTATAATCTGCAAGCCTCCTTTTATGAACACTGGTAGAGATAATCCACAGTACAGTTTTGAAGAATTAATGAGCAAGGGTTGTCTTCTAATTCTTCAGAACAATTTTTTACTTCATGAATTATTTTTGTTGGCTTCTCTTTCAGATGCGGCTGAAATTGTCTCTGCTCCCAGAAACAGGACAGTCCTGGAATATGACAATGTTACTTTCTTTTGCAATGCATCAAGTAATCCACCCTCACAGATCATCTGGACCCAAGAAGGAAGCAGTACAGTTTTACATGCAGGAGAAACCTTTGTAATTGAAAATGTTTCAAGAAAACTTAATGGACAGCAATACAAATGCAGGACATGGAACAATGTCACCAAAGATGTGGAGGCATATGCTCAGCTCACCGTTCATTGTGAGTATTCAAAGACTCTTTCATGAAAACCAAGAATCACAAAGGAAATAAGTTGGTACACTGCAAAAACAAGAGCAACATCTACAAAAAGAAAACTGTTAAATTCAGGTTGCTTTTCCCTTTATATGCCAACATCACTTTGCAAGTTCTCCATACTGTTGTCTACACATTAATATGGTACTTACTTTTTAAGGAGAATTTGTCTAATGATCAAGAGCATTTTGACTTTTTCGACATGTTCATAATTATGTAAGAGAAATCTTAAAATTAAGATTCACAAACCTAAATGTAAAGGCATGATGATATTATCACTCACTGTCTTGCCCAAAGACCAGTTGAAATACTAAACCATATTTCGGTCCATCTTTGTTTGCCTGAATTCTATTTGACTAAGGTTAATACAATTCCTTTTCTAATGGTGTTGGTATTACTGTGCCAATACTTTTCTGTGATGTAAGGATATACATGTCTCTACAGACCCATTAAACTAGATAAAATGCTCCAACTGGTTAAAATGGTCTAATTGGTAAAAACTATCTATGTTTTATTAATAGTTAATATTTGAGATAAAATGGTTTAAACATTTATAAAGGTCCAGCCAGGTAAAATGGTTCTATTAGCTAAAATTGTCTAAACATCTAAAAAGGTCTAACTAGATAATGGGGTCCAACCACCTGAAGTGGTGTAACTAGATAAAACGTTCCAACTGGTGGAAATGGTCAAACTCGGTGTAACTGGTCAAAGTAAATGGTCAAACTGTTTAAAATAGCTTAATCAGCTAAGATGGTCTAAGACAAAATGATCCACTGGTCAAAGTCGTCTAGCTAAATAAAATGGTCAAACAAGATATACTGGTCCAACAAGCAGAAATTGCCCAACAAGAGAAAATGTTCCTACTGGTTAAAATAATCTTACTAGATGTAGTAGGTTAACCACTTAAAATGGTCTAACAGGTTATATTGGCCCAATGGTTAGAATTATGCAACCAGTAAATATGGTCCAACTGGTTCAACTGAATCCAACCAGTCTACATCTATAAAATGATCAAAATGCTAAAAATGGTCTTACTAGGTAACATGGTCCAACCGGTTAAAATGATCATCCAGTTGAAATGGTCCTTTTATTTAGGTAGACCATGTATACCGGTGGGTCCATTTTTTAAAATTAGACCATTTGTAACTGTTGAATCATTCTATGTTTATACACCACAACTACAACAACAACTTCTACTTAACTGTGTATCCTTTGATGAAATTATGATGAACAATTTCCTTTTTCCCAATATTCATGCAAGTAATCACTATCGATTTTTATTCTCTGTCTAAAAGATCCTCCAACATCAACCATGATTACAGCACTTCCCACAAACACGACAGTGCTGCATAATACTGTCATGATGCTAAACTGTAGTACAGATGCCAACCCTGCTGCTCATACTTATCACTTCTACTTTAATGGCAACCTTATTGGTAACAGCAGTTCTGGGATGTTTAATATCCCCGTAAAGGAAGATGGAGAGTACACCTGTGTTCCTGTTAACATAGTAGGCACGGGAAACAATGCTAGTGTCAACATTACTGCTGTTGGTGAGTTCAGTGTAGAGCTGACTGCAATTTAGAATAGCTAATTTATCGCATCAAGTCCGTTGTTGTGTGCTCTACCAATTTCTTTAAAATATTAAAGATTCACCTTAGATATAGATGTACAATTTAACTGACTCAATAGACCTTAATACCGCCATACTATGATGTGTTTCTGTGCACAGGGTAGGCACAGTAATGCTGCAGTCCACACTAAGGGTTTTGGTATGCATCTGGTCAGAAAGTTTGCATGCGACGAGTGACGAACAATAAATTCACCATTTTGTTGTTTTAGTTAGTTAATAATTGTGTGCTTAGTGATTTGATGGGAAGGTGATCAGATGAGCAATTATTATGTCAAATTAGATGGCTAGGAAATTAGTTATTGTGTTCTGTCCTTTATTTTTGTGGATTTGGCATTTCATCATCAAGGAAGGCTGTCAGAGTTTTTTTAATTCCAGGGACTTACATATAATCGGGATTTGCCGACCAGAATTAATATTGGTGCAATATTAGCAACCTTAACTGATAACACAAACAACTGCATTCATGATATTTTATTTCAGTGGCCCCAGTTGCTGAGGTGGTTCCTCAAACTGGCGTAGTTGTGGAAGGTGGAAACATTACCTTGATCTGTAACAGCAGTGGTGTTCCTTCTCCATCGGTTGTCTGGACTCAAGTTGGAACCACAAACGTTTTGTCTCAAAACAAGTTACTTATTGTGGTAAATGTTACCAGACCAGAGACACCAGATAACTTGATCCAGTATCAATGTACAGCCAGTAATGGAGTAGGTACACCTGGTACCGCTGCAGTTAACATAACTGTTCAATGTGAGTTACTAATTGTACATATTTTAACCAGTAGGAACATTTTCTCTTGTTAGGCAGTCGTTTGTTGCATGTTTAGTTGTAAATTTTACCAGTGTATCTTTACAATACGAAAAGGCTCTGTACTTGAATAAGAAGGAAAACAAGAGAAGACCAGATCTGTTGCTCGATGTTAATCTTGCCTGAAGGCGTTTTAGTTTCCTGCTTACGTATACTTGTTTCACACAGTAAGTAATTTTTTTACTTTTAAGATCCTCCGGAGATAGTCAGATATCCATCCACTTCACCCATCATTGAAGGTGGCAACATCACACTTGTCTGCCAGGCTATTGGAAATCCACAGCCAAACATAACTTGGACCAAGAGAGGAAGCGATAAAATTTTGTCCCATTCAAAGGCACTCGTCTTGGCTAATTTAACTAGATTAGACAACGAAACAGAATACAAATGCAAAGCCATGAACTATTTAGGATTCGTTGAAGCCTCGACTTTAGTTACCATCCACTGTAAGTACAATGTAGAATTGCTTATGCATGTAACGTGTTCCCTCTATGTAAATTGAAACCTCAGCTAAGTTACCTATCGATGAGCAATTGTGGTTCAATTTTATCCTTGGTTCAAATTTTATTGTCTTTTGTTTTTGGGTATTGTCATATATGATAACGAGTTTGAAACAAAGAAAACAACATTTGAACCAAGGATGAAATGAACCACAACATATACATGTAGGTCCCCTTTAGGTAGAAAAACCTGGTGACCCTAAAAGAGAATAGCCTTGTCTGCTCGTTTTGTTTAGCTATTTGTGAACAGTCTAAATGACTGATTTTAGATTAGATCTGTACACATTATATATATTTCCTTATTTAGATTCATCCTTGATTGAGTCTTCCCCAATCAATCAAGTTGTCCTTGAAGGAAACAACTTGACTCTACGCTGCAGTGCTTCTGGAAATCCTACACCAAACATCACGTGGACTAAAGATAAAAGTTCATTAGTGCTACATCAAGGAGATACTTACAGCATTGTGGACATAGACAGAAATGCTGCAGGGAATTACACATGTACAGCTTGGAATGGAGTGGGAGAACCAAAAAAAGCCATTGCTGCAGTATCTGTACACTGTAAGTTGTGTTACATTTACATTTGGTGAATCAACTCTTCAATCTAAAAAAATTACCCCATGTTTGATAGCGACAACTTTATTATTGCACCATTTCTATAGAAATTCACTTGAAAATCTTTGTTGAATATATTTATATATTTTGACATTGTATAGCAAGCGTTTGGTAGCTGACAAAAAGGAGACACTAACTCATAAAATTCAGTGACAAATGGACACTTAAACTATCTTTTTCTCCCTCCCCCTGTGGACTTAAAACTGTAATGTCAACAGTAATCGTTGTAGTCTTGAGGTACCCTTGGTTACATCGAAGATGATCACCATCAGAGCTGTTGTGTTCTCTTATCCAGACAAAATTGACACAAACATAACGTATCATTAGATTAATTGTAAAGCCCGGTATCGATATGATCGTCCAGATTTCCGCGATCACCCTCAGTGATGCTTCAGGGTTCTGGACGGTTAGAAAGAAATTAGGCCCAAATATCGCGAGGACCACGACCGTCTGGATAGAATTCAGTGTATAGCCTGTTTTTACCATGATATCACAGATTGCGCTAATCCTATCGAAAACTGAGGCGAGCAGGACGTGTGGAAATTAGGCGTCGGGGGAAATATTACTTTTGAAATTTTTTTACAATATCCAAATGTTATCCAAATCTCCGACAAAAACTCCGTCATTGAAATATGAGAGTCGTAGACCGTAGGCTTGTGTTTGAATTGTCACTATTCCTTTTATCTGATCAGATCCTGCTGCGATAGTCACTCGTCCTAAAGACCAAGTGTTGTGGTTGGGGGAGAACACAACTCTAGTGTGTGACGCTGTTGGTAACCCTGTGCCAAACATAACTTACTCTGTGCTTGGAGAGAATGCCTCAGTCGTTTACAGCAAGACACTTGTTATTAAGAGTTCCAGCGTAACTTATGTTAAGATGTACACATGCACGGCATTTAATGGAGTACAGCCACCAGTGTCTGTCAATGCTACTGTTACAGTGTTGGGTAAGTGTTTTACTTCACACATTTGTTTCCCTTGGTTCTTTGGAGGAGATTGTTTCGTTTGTGTAATTCAATGGAAATAAATTTCTTTGAAGCGAAACTAAAGGCTACAGTTCAGACAATTGATTTTAATTTTCACCATGAGTCACCACTAGATATGATTACATATTGTTGACGCGTGGTCTAAACAAGTCATTTTTTTCTTCCTTTCAAACGTACATTCAAAACTAGAGAGAATGAAGTGAACAAAAGATAAAATTGTGCACTTCAATTGGTATATCATCGGGTATGCAACACCTTCTATTTAGACGCATTTGTGATCTTGCATTCATCAAGGAAAGTTGGCGTTTCTAGAATTTTATTAAGAATAATTGCAATATGCCCTGATTAACAACAACAAGGATATAGAAGACTCTTTTTAACATGGAAATTACCTTTCCTGGGAGATACGAAGTGTAGTGACTTAGAGAGTGCTTTATGAACAATTAAGCGGAGGATTCTGTTTATTAACGTCTCACGAGTTCGCTTTTCTCTCTCCCCATCGGTAGCATACTCATGATGTAACCTGCCCTTTATTTAATAAGAAATCCCGTTTAAAACTATGTATTGTGTGTATACGAGAGTTGTATCTTCTTTTTCCAACAGTAAGACCTTGTTCTCGTTCCCCCTGTGCTAATGGAAATTGTACGGACATAAAGACGCCGCCATCTTACCGTTGCACTTGTCCTTCTGGTTATCAGGGAAGACGCTGTATTCAGCAAAGTAAGTCTTCTTGCCCCTTTTTAAATATACGTGCCATTTTCTTCACGATGGTTATTATTATCGTTGTTAGTTTTATCATCATCAACATCACAAGAACATCATGAACCCTTTCAGTTCCAACGGTGCTGATCTGGTGTGGCTTTTATACTTCTGAGCCGTTTATTCAAAGTCCATCAACAGCCATCCTTAAACCCATAATTTTCAGCGTTCACTTTTGCTCTCAGCGCCTATCGATCATCATGTGGTCTATTTGTGTTGCTGTGGACTCTAGATTGTCATAGTTGTCCCAATCTTTTACAATGATTCATGCTTGTACTGCTTTTTTGCTATTTATTTTAGTTACAAAAGAAACTGATAGAGTGAGGGGGAGAGTAAAACTTGAAAGGTGTCCATACAAGTATCACCCAGACTACAATAACCATAGCAGTGAGATGTACAAGGAGCTCAGCAACGACTTCATAAAGAATGTAAGTTGTTTGAAGTTTACCTTTCAGGTGAATATTTGAAAGGCTCTGTAGTAAATGTTGATATGAATTTCCATCTGGTTTCTGTCTAGGCAGTACACTCCCTGCAAAGCAGAATAGTTACAGTGCTCAAAGGTGGTCCCTTTCCCTTTTTTGTTGCTTCTTTTGTTGAAGACAAACTGAGGGGTGTCTTGTCTCCCTCTTGAAGCGGCGTCCACAGCACTGTTGAGATAAATTAATGTCACGAGGAAAGTTGCTGTGTATAATACAGTCAATTCCCAGTAAGAGGGTGTCAACCTGTGTGAGTAGTAGTTGCAAAGAATACTTATAAAGAGAATGATTGAATTGTGAAAATGCTTTTGTCGGTCTAAAGAAACATTGTTGGGCCTGTTCAAAATTTCCGTGGGTCAAAAACTTCATGATTTGCTTCAATATTGAACGATAAAAGTTCACGGCATTGATTGCCTCTCTGAACGGTATGAACCGTTACCTACTTTGAAAGGGCCCTTTTTTGTCCTAAAAAGTTTGTGATCACTCGCTGTCGCAGTCATTGGTTTCTATCTTTACTTTCAATCATGACTTTTGCGCCGTGGGGTAAAATCTTCCCCAAGAAGTTGCGACTTTCTATGCGATGCGAAAACTATCTCTTTACCTGGGCAAGAGACAAAGCGAGACATGGATGTTGAGTTAACACACTCTCCATGTTCGCCATCTGTTTGCTCTATAGCTTTTTATCAGGCCCGGTGATTTGGTAGGTTCCACTGTTAATATCGCATGACTGAACTGAGAGATCGGAACAGCTTGTTAGATCTCGTCTATCTTCTAATACTGGCATCGACACGGTTCATATCCTTGAACAATTCTATTAAAGTAGTATGTTTTCCTAAATTACAATTAATCTTTGTTTCTCTTTTTGTAGATGACTGCATTATACGAAAATGAGAAACAATTTGGTCTAGTCACAGTTAACGACATTTAGTAAGAGTAAAGTATTATTATCATTATAACTATTATCATTATCATTATTGTTGTTATTATTATTATCATCCTAATTATTATTTCTGTCGTTGTTGTTTCTCTTTTTTTTTTTGGCACTTGTATGGCACCAAAAGAACAAATGCATTAATGAAGGGAATAATGAGGATAATTGGAATGTTGCCAAAACTTACGGTGATATCTAAATTGTTTGGACGCAGTGTAAGTCACGCGCGAGGAGAGGAGCGCGATAAAATGACATTTTGTTCCTCGCGCTTTGCGCTCTCCTCGCGCTTGTCTCCGTTCGCCTGAAAAACGGTCACAACAGAAAACGCTTGTTCGGCTGGCTATCTTCCGAATGGAATACCATGAATCCGAGAAAAATGCCAATTGATTTCTGTTTTGCTCTATGCTTTCCCTTTTGTTATATTTTCCCCCTCACTTTTGACTTGTTTTAATGTCATTGGCAAAGACGTCATTCGTCGTGGCACAGATACGTGTTTCCATCAAACATTTTTTTGACGTCAATTAGACCACTTGTTCATAACTTACTTATCAGAGGGTTTCTACTGTTTTGACAGCAGTGACGCAAGTGACAACGTTATGGTGAACTTCACCTTAGTTTTCTTCAAAGGAAATAAGACTGTTGATGAGCTTCATCAGGTCCTGGAAAAATCCGTGGAAAATGGCAGTGTTTATTCGTTACCAGTGCAGAGAGGCACGCTCCGGCTGACTCTAATAAGTGAGTTCACCATTCTTTGTTGTACAGAGCGCTGTCCGATCAATTACTGTAAAACCAAAACCTAAGTACTACCCTAACAAGTCGTAGTAAGGCTAAATATCACAAGTGTCAGTGAGGCTCTTAACTGAACACATTTAAAGGACGCGGGAAAAGCTTTTGTCAAAGTTTAGGCTCTGTTTTTAAACTGATTTATTTCATTTGGGTGATTTTCACGCTCTCTATATAAAAGCATAAAAATCAGGCCTGGGAAAGTAACGGGAGACGCCGAATTTTCAAGGAATGAAGTTGAATGAATCCGGGGTTGATGGTCAGGCCTAAATCGCATCCGGCATTGATGCCATCAATACAGTGTATTATTTGTTAGAAAATGATCCTCTGTTTCTTCTCCGTTATACCTTAGCGACTCCAGCACCCGCTACAGCTATTCCACCGGCTGTAGCCGCACGGAGCAAGAAAATTGAACCGTGGATTATTGTCGTGGTTGTAGCTATTGGTGGACTGGTGTTCTTGGTGCTGGTTTGCGCCATTATCGCCTGCTGTGGCAGGAGGAGGAAGAAGAAAAAAGGTGAGAAACGGAGTGCGCAGGCTGTACTCAGCTATGGTACATGTAATGAAAAGACTATTACCAGAATTATACCATTTGCGTCAAACAATATCACAAAGAGACGTAGGTAAGATGTTAGTGAACAGTGCCGCTTTATAGTGTGCCCTTCTGGAATGGTGAGAGAGCTTAATTAGCAACCACTTAGCTAACAAGAAAAATGTAAGGTTGCTTATTGGAACGTCGCATGGAAGGTATGAAATTACTGATAATCACGTTTATGTTTTTGACCACTGGACATCTTAATAACGGTGCGGACTGTATGCTGAAAAATTCTAGAACTTCAGTGGCTCACTGTTCATGCGGTTTTGTCTTCCTACCCTTTTTGTAAGAATTTTTTAAACTTTTGAACAGTATTTTTATTAGTTTATATCTCGTCGATTTTCTCGCTAAAGGACAATTTTGACTCGTATGCAATAAACTTTGGTAAAGTGATGGTTGATTTTACTTTTTCGTAAGGCGTTATTACTATTGAAAACACAGTGTTTTAAGTAGCTACTTCAAGGCTGCTTGATGCAACATATATATGTTTATGAATTTCCCACATCATTCTGAAAAGTGTTTGTGTCATGACAGTTTTAATCTTTGTTTCTCCATAGATGTATCCCAAGGATACGAAGACCACACGTGAGTTGTACGCTTGACTTCTTAATTAATTGGAAATTCTCTTTTGGGGAAGTTGTTATAAGCACTGGAAAACAAACATCGAAATAAGCATGTGTTTCAGGTGTAAACGCAGCCATGAGATCATCCAGGTGTGATTGCTTCAAACGCTCATGGTTAAATACCTGAAATGTTATCAGTGAAATTTGCTACAGTGCACTGTTGTAAGAACATAACGATTTTGATGTAACAACAGATCTGTATGGCAAAGAACGAGTTCTAGATATTAGTGTTGTTTTGGTGCTCAGTGTGTTTTCATCGTCTCTGTTGGCAGTGGAAATTGGATTGATCTACCTCATGGTGAAAACGGAAATAAGCCATCAAAAGAGGAGTATGCAATGACCAATTCTGTGGCTTACATGGAGGGTGGACCTTACCAGGTGCGAAAACCAGCGAATGATTACTTTGTTAATAGAAGTGCCTGTGCTGAAATAGTACCAATAACACAACTAGGGACAAGAAATCTCTAGCTCTGTAGTTCCCAATCTCTCCTGGTTAATTTGTTATTCGGATGAAAGTATCAACATGCGACGTCACCTTTAACAGTTTGTGTCTTGATTGTAATCGATGTAACTGAGGACTGTGCAAGGGGTGATCTTTTCAAAGGGTAGATAGCCGAAGGGGCCTCGTGCTCTCATTTGTTTCTCGATATTTGGACACCACGATGAAACCCTCGCACTCGTTTTTTATATACTGTGTATCGATGGGACAGTCGAGCGTCCTCTTCAGAGGAGCCATCCACTCTCTGGAAAATTGCGACCCTTTGTTGGTCAGTGGCATGTATTTGACCCAAATTGTTATGGTGGCAATGCACATGATGAGTACCCTTCCTATGTTAACAAAACGGCTGTTGTTACATTTAATCCACGAAACATGGACGTAATCGCGATGAGGACTTTTATTGCAACACGTCTTTACACCTCACTTGGGGCACAACTTGAATCGATAACTAATGCTGTCAGTTAAATCTTTTGTACTTGGTTGAGAGCGTTTTTAATGTGTGGATTATTTGATTGAACTGTGAATGGTATTTCTGTAGGAACGCGCTGTTGAAGAGAAAGAACCCGAGAGCAATGGTGAGTTAGACGTAGGTCATTTAGTTTACCGATAACGAAAGTCATTGAAGGCGTTCTCTGCGCATAAAAACACCGAAATGAACAAGTTCCTTGTTAAGGCTGCAAAAATAACGGGGTTGAAGTGAAGTCCCTGTTCTTGGTCACGAAATGCACGTGACAATTTAAGGTCTGGGTACCAGGAAAAAAAAATGATTGAAATAGATGTAGATGTTCCCTGTTCGAATACAAACAAAATGTACTGACAAGAAGTTAAACTGAAGTGACGGAACTGCTATGTTTTCAGGCAACAACACCCATATGTAGCGTGGGATTCAGGAAAGGAAGGAACGACAAGGACAGGAAACCAAGAACAAGAACCATTTAAAGCACAAGCTAACTTTTTAATGAAATTTACGCTGACGTGATGTTTGATATATACTTTGACAGCGAAATTGAAAGTGGTTTCTTGAGGAGATATGTCTTGTCTTATTATCGTCTTGTTTTGGATTTCAAAAGGACGGCTTCCTGTTTTTATAAGCTTGCCAACCGGGTGTTCAAAATCTCCCATCATTTTTATACTCATGCGACTCAAACTACTTTTAAGTCGAGTTCGTTGCATTTATTCCCATAATGAATCTTGGGTTATAAAATTGTTCATGCAATTTAAAAGGTAAAGAGGATGAAGCCACTAGAACCTCATCCTCACCCACATTAAAGCTTAGATTGCACAAGAAAACGTAAATGTTTTTCTGCAGAATGCAGCTGGTTTGCATGAAATTATTCACCAATATTTATTGCACATCCATTTATTCAGTTTATTTATATTAATTTCAGCTATTTTTGTTACTCTGCTCACTGAAACTTTGCAATAAAATCGCGTACAAAAATCTGTGGCTCTTTTCGTCTTGTAAACCAACTCATACGAGTACCGACTGAACAAAGCATTTTCAGTAAGAAGTGCTTGGAGGGTACTGGTCACAATTCACGTTGAAGGAGAGAGGGGGCTGGAGTATCTTGCAAGATAAATATTTAACTTCTGATCCCAAACTTCGTTTGATCGATGAATTAGTCTCATCCTTTTCCCCCTCGCTATTTCCAGCTATTCATGAAGTACTTTCGTATTTAGGAATTGGAAATGCCAAGCCGTGCACATTATACACAACGCGAGACTGCACATTACAAGCTGCGACGTATCGTATCGTTTCTTTTTATGTCATGGGACTAACACTGCTTTAAGGTCACATTCGTGTACAAAAGCCTCCCGTTCTTCACCCACTTCTGACTTCATGGCCAGTTTACAAAGAGAGATATTTTTAAGGTTGAAATGAGTATATCGGTTTAAGATAGCATTGAAACTGAAAGCTCAGAGGACCATTACTACCAGCACCTATTGAACCTCGAAGTTCTTATGCATTTACAGAACTTGGCGTCTTTAACACAAGCAGAACTAACATTATGATGGTCAGCTGTTTATGGAGGTGATAGATCCCCCTCCATCCAATAAACCGACTCATCCCCTTTATTTTCTATCCCTTCTCCAAACTTCTAGGCAAATGCTGATTGTCTCCCCCTCTTAATTACAAAATGTCACAAAACCAAAATACCAAGCATCAGTACAAACCTGCTACAGAAAGATAGCTAAGAGAACATCAGTTAGTTACTTTCAAACTTTATTGGCTAAAAAGAATACAAATCACACGAATCTGTCAAAAACATTTTCCTAGAACGGACAAGAATCTTTAATATATTTGACTATTTTGTACAATGAAAACACCTTGAATTGACCCTGAATAATTCATGTACACATTCCTTTATCAACGCTAAATAAATTTCGATTGCTTTCATTTTGTTTGGTTTTTTCTTTCTTTCATGTTCTGTATTAAATACATTGACAGCCAACAGTAAAAATTCAATTCGCTACAAAATACAAAAGTAAAAAAGTTTTGAAAATGATTAAAACTGTGACAGTTACAAATAGCGACGACTGTGGTGGTAATTAATAAATAATTTTAGTTTGAATATAAAAATTTTTAAGTGGAACCCTTCCACTGTAGGTTGTCTGTTGACTGTAAAACAGAACATTACAGGTGATGCAATATCCAGCAATGTGGGAGCTGCTCACATCTGTCGTCATCTTGGATGAGCGTCTTGTGTTCTGTTGCATTAAATTCTAGAGTCTACTTCTCCTTCAGCCTCAATCAGTTGAATAACAGATCGGGTAGGGTAGGCTCCACCAACTGTGGAGCGTTGGTCCTGGTTTCAGTAAAGGAAGAATTCAACTTTAACAGGGAACACTGAACTACCAAGCAACATTATGATCATAAGTACCTTGAAATGAATGAAAGTTGAGCGAATGTCACTGCTTCTTGTGGATGAATTTTGTGCTTAAGGTTACCTCCTATGCATTAACCAAAATTGTTAGGGAACATGGTGTCTCACAAATGATTTGGTTGAGAATAAGCCCAATGACACGAATACCTTGCAGGAAAGGTGGACTATCGCTCTCCTGCACATGTAAACTCAGGAAAGGAGACCATAGTAACTCTTAATTCACCTCTACATACATTACACCCTGAACCTGTTAACAAGTGTATTTCTTGCTAAAGCATCAAATTAGGCATGTATTTACAAACTGTGTGCATGAAAACTCTAATGAATACTCACCTCTGCCAATCTAATATCATTTGCACTCATGGCCCCCTTCATTACATCAGGCATCTAAGAGACAAAAATATCATTATTGTAATGAGTAAGAAAATTGACAAAGTGATAGAACCAAAACAAATGAAAGAGTTCAAAAACAACAGTTTGGCAGCTTAGAATGCACTTGCTGGTAAGATGATAACAATCTGAGCACAAGTGACGATGCTATGACAATAACAGTGGGATCAAATGAGACTATGCTAGCTGATAGACTGAAAACTGAGGGACACAAACCTCGCGACTCATTCTAACATCAGTCAGACTTATGGCTCCGTTCATATAACCAAACTATAAGAAAAAGTAACATCAAACATTAATTACAGAAACAAAAAAAACATGCATGTAGAACCATTGATGACATATTTTTAAATTGGTGGGAACACTTTCTGCCAATTGCTACATTCAATGTATCATTCCAGGTAATGATATTTGAAAATTTCTTTGACATTGGCATCTAGGAGATGAAAATACTATTTTCACAATTAGTAAGAAAATTGACAAACTAATAGGAAACAAAATAAATGAAAGTTTTCAAAGACAGGAGTTTGTCGTCGGGCTTATAATGCACTTGCTGGTAGGATGACAACCACCTGGGTACAACAAGTGACAACAGTATGACAAAATCATTGGGATCGACAGACTCCACAAAAAATACATTGAAAACAAAGGAATACAAACCTCACGACTCATTCTAACATCATTTAGGCTCAAGGCTCCATTCGGATAACCAATCTAGGAGAAAAAGAAAAATCATGCAAATGAAACAACATGTCCATAGGATCAACCAATGACTATAGGTAGGAACACTTCCACCAATAACTAAGTTCATTTTGAATGATACTTGAAAAATTTCTTTATCTCCCCCCCCCCCAAAAAAAAAATTACACAATATAGGGCAAAATTCTGAACGAATGTTTGTTTCAGAGGTGCAAAACTATTCACTGCACTTAAATCAAAATGTATGACACGTTTGCGCACAAAGATCGCTCACCTCCATTCCCCCATTCGTCTGATCTCCATAGAGAGTAGGACCAATGTGAGAGCCTCTCTTGGTTCCTTGTCTGAGAGAGCAAAAGATAAATACAACTTCAAGTAAGAAAATGATGATTTAAGTTTTACACTGGTCTAAGGTACAATATGTGCTTCTGTTTCATGATAATTTAAGTAGTATGAAATCATGATTATTGTACCTGGAAATGTTATTCTGTGATCCCATCTCCCTCTTATCTGTTTAAATCAAAATCAAAGAAAAGGATAATAAAATTTGTTAAAACAAAGCTCTTTTATCCATTTTAGCTCCTGTTGTGTGTATAATTAAAATTGTAACTCTCAGGACTAGCTATTTTCCAACATTTTTTCAACAGCTTGGAATACTTCCACATGTTAAGCATGTGACACTTTACAAGACTACACAGTATAGTTAACTGACAAAAGCATTTACCTTTCTTATTGTGCTTCTTTGAACGGCAAAATACAACGATCGAGGAGGCAATTAAAAGGACAAATAAAACACTTCCACCAATGGCAGCATATGCCCAAACTGGGAATTCCTCTTTATCTACATGAAACAATCATAAGTTGACATATTTTAGATCACAAACACATGATAAAAAGTAGCTGAATCAGGTTCAGTCCTTTCAGTAACTCCACTAAATTATTTAAATATGCCAAATCCTCTTTGGAATAGTTTTTGGACATGTTGAATAAAAATGGGGTAAAATACATTGCATGCAAGGGTGTTTTTTTTTCTAGAATGGCATGATGGTATTTATAAAAACTTTACTAATAAAATCAAAATGTACAACCAGGTGTGGTCACATACCTTCAACGGTCACCGTGAGAGTTGCTTCTGGGCCGTGACCCAGTTTATTAGAAGGAACACAGCGATAAGTTCCTTGGTCCTCTTTCTTGACACTAACAAAAGTAAGTACACCTGTGCTGGATGAGCTGATCAAATTGTTGTTGCGGTAAAATTTATATTCTGCTGAGGGATTGGCACGGGCTGTACAGGTGAGCACTAAGAGTTTCCCTTCTTGTGCTGGCTCCACCGAACTACTGAGCAGAGTGTCTGTGGGTTTGTCTGGAGAATCAAAATACATAATAAGAAAAACAACAATGAGAACAGCTTCTCTCAAGGCACTTCAAAATTACTAATTTACTCATGGAGAAATTAAACATCCAGCAATCTAGTTACTATTCACTTCTCCTAACTGGTGGACGCCAGTGAGAGAGAGAAAGAATTCATGGCAAAATCAATTAAGTGGGAATAAATGTGAAATATGTATACATGAAGCACAGGAACTGTTGATGACTACCTTCACACATCTTAATTTATTGATTTCATCAAGTTTACAATCCATTTGATCCATTTTTTGAAGATGAGAAACACTTCACTTTCTGAAGTTTCCAGGAAACTTTGCCTGTTGCCTGGCAGCCAACATGTCACATGTCTTTGATATTCACCAAATCTTTTTATCACACTTGCTAATCAACAAAGATAAAGACAGCCAATAACCTAAGATAGCCTAATAACAGCCTTATCAGAATGTCAACCTTAGCACTTGGGATTTAGGACTGATTACCTTTTACACCAAAAGGAAGCTCAAACGGATAATTATACTATTCCACAGACTAGCAGGCTTCTAGTGCGGTAAGTGTCAATGTACTATTTCTCTCTTATGGGAAAATCAAGGCAGTCTGTGAAATAATTTTTAGTTAGGGCAGAAAATCGAATCTTGCTGGCAAAATCTTTGAGTGTTTCAATTAAAAGCCAGAATACATATAAAGAAAATTGTACTACAATACTTTTACAGTTTCTACCTCTTAGAAATGGCAGAGATGTGACTCACAATGAGATAAGTTATAACAATTTTTTTTATAATTTTCATTTAAATGCAAATCAATATAGAAAGTGTAAATTTGTTTTTTAAAAACACCATGCAGCGAAAATGTCCCAATGAAATTTCCTTGTTCACCACAATAGTGTGCAAAATTTTGCATTTCTCCTATTCGATGCTTTCTGATATGCAAATCGATAATACTTATGGTAACACCTGCTTATAATTGCCATCATACAAGTTTGCTTGGCTCTTTTGAAATTTTCATCTAATATATGTATTTGAACTGTTATTTTCACTCAAAGGGTCTAATATAGTTTGGTTGAAATGTGGAAAGAGAAAGCATTCTCTCTTAAACATATCACATTGGCCAAAGCATGTGTGATTTGGAAACAGATCTTGACAATCTTCATGTGCCCAAACATAAGCAAGTGTCCTTCCTTTTTTCCTAAGAATGGCTCCTGAATAATAAGTTTGAAAAAGCAGCAAATGACCAGACAGGAAAAGGGAACATAGAATTGTAAAAACAAATACAAATGGTTCTTCTGCAAAGCCAATTAAGATTAATTTCTTGTTGACAACGAATGATCTGACATGTGTCTATCTAATTTATACATTTTTTTATCACCATTGACAAGTCTTATGTGTGAATAACAAACTTATTGACAACCGAAAGCTACAAATCGAAAGAAATGGCGTCGACCGATCGTCGAAAGGAACCATTCAGTTTTAATCATTGTAAATCTACCGTTAGCCTTCGAAGTTGTTTGAGTCGCGCTACGTGACGAAATCTGATACTCTTTCCTAAAGCCAACCACATCATTTTGGAGGTACATTTACAACGAGATTCTGCTTTGAGAATGTTCTATGAACAATAATGATCAGAGTTACGTCGCAGAGGTGACAAGAGAGAACGTTTACTTAGCGAGTCGTAAGGTAGGATAACCCCTAACTTTCAGAACACCTTAAAGTTATGTAATACTTACATTGTACGTTTAACTCGATAATACTTGGTGATGTGAAGAAACTACTTCGAAATGAGCATTGGTAACGAGTGTGATCTTCTTCGGCTACGTTCATAACATTCAAAGTCCTGTCCGAAATGAAAATATGTTGGGGATGATCGTAAATGACTTTGCTTCCAATCAATGTTGAGTTGATGGCTAATCCAGCCCATTCATCACTGTTGTAAGGTTGTTCTCTGGACCAGGTCAGCAAATGAAATATATTAGCTTGTTGTTCTTCTTGAGGAGTCAGCACATAATCGCATGGCAGTGAAACATTTGAGCCGGCGACTACGTTAATTACATGGTTTGCCTGTTGCTGATAAGACCATTGAAATCCCTCTGAAATCGAAACCATAAAGGCTATGAGTCAGACATATTCAAACTCGACTACTAAAAGAGGACCGTTTTCATGCGGCAAACATTTCAGTATTGGCGACATGGTTTGTAACCGCCGCTCGCGTAATTGATACAATCAAACCAAACTATTTCAAAACTAATTTCAACATCACTTGCCCAGTAAAATTACACAGTTCAGAAAAAATAGTAGCACCCAGGTGGTATTGGAACCCTCCATTCTTCACGCAATCTTCTCGAAGAGGAAGTCCGACATAACTCTTTGTATATTTATTTGTGTTAGTGACAAACTCTCTAGTCCCTCCTCCACTGACGTCAAACACTTTCGCCGAGCTATTGTTTAAAAAAATTCAATCATGCATAGAATAGACAGGAAATGACAACATTCCGAGGATGACTGATACAGCTTTTTCTTTATTTGTCACTCCATGTCTAATTTTAGTCCCAGCTTCATTTGAGACGAACTAAACATTTGAGAAGCCAACTCATGTGACTTTTTAATTTTACTTTTTATTCCTAATTATTTTTTAATAGTTATCGTTTGCAATGTTCAGCAGGTGATATTCAAAAGGAGTAAAAGTTATTTTTCTCAAAGATACCTGCTCGCTCGAAAAAAGATTTCAGGCCGTACAGATTTTCTGAATACTATATGTAAAATATACGAGGCCGATATTGATTCATGTTTGTCAAGGATCAAGGTAGATAACGTTTTGATTGGAAAAATATAAGGTATAAAGGTTGTCAGTCCAAACAAAATAATAATTGCGGTGGACTTTGTAACATTCAGGGGTAATTTTAATTGGAAGCTAATAGACAACGCTGTGTTGTGCAGATGTCTTACTTTTGCTCGACGACGGAAAGCGACAGAACCGTCTACAGAAAAGCGTTGTAACATCTAACAGTATGCCTAGCTGGGAAATTGAATGCAAGTTTCAAATTTTGCGGATTTTGCTTGATCTGCAAATATGGGTACACGCTGAAAAAAATACGCAGTGGAATATAACGCCGCAAAAAAATCATTCTTAGTCCAATACAAAAGTCGAGGGAAATAACGCGGATAAGAGGTTATTCATTCAGTATTCTGATTTCTTTGTCAAATATTTTGCGAAGTGGTTGTTTACCTTCCTAGATTATCCAGAATTCAGTTAACTTTCCAAAAAAACGTTCCGCGAATCTTAAAATCTCCAATTTGCGATATGAAATTACTGCAAAGCTAAGCAGCTTTTTCAGCCTTTCCACATGTTTTCCATTTATGTTTTCCCTTTATGTTTTCCCTCTTGGAACAATAGCAATACTGTGTGCTTTGTCTGTAAGAGATTTTAGCACATGTACGACATCTTTGTGCCTGATTATTTATCTTGTAGCTGTGTCAGTGCGATTGTAAAACTGTGAGTTTTAGATGGCGTTGTCAGATCGGCCATGTCGTGTCGACGACTGACTGAGACGTATAACAAAGTCCTTTATTCCATTTGCAATAATAAGAACTGAGATTTAACCGGTAGGTTAGACAATGTTATGCAGGGTGTTTGGGCCTTTTAATTTAACAAAAAAAATAGACCGTTGTCGAAGATTTGAAGTCTGTAAATAAAAAATGCATTTTAAATTTGCGCGTTGAAAAAAATCAACGGAGTTGAGTCGAAAGAAAGTGACTCATTTTATGAAAATTATTTGTGTAATTCGTGTTCACAACTTAAATCTGTTGTTAGCATTTTATTCTATTTCCGCCAGCTAAGGAAATATAATGTGGCTTAATATTGATTCCGCATAATGCTAATGAGTTTTAATGTATTCCGCAGTCTTGTGTTACAAGTCATCATGAGGTGTTTCCGTCTGGAAATAACACTAAAGGTGTGGTATAAAAGAATTTGATATTTCCGGGTAGAACTTTGAATACTTCACGCGCGTGAGATAGTCCACGTTAGTCACGCACTTAAAATTCGTGACGCTCTCTTTAAAGAAAAACAAAGAAAGGGTGCATTCACAAGTACCCAAGTTTAATTGTAGCAAAAGACACGAGCGTGCACCGAATTGAAGAGGCCTCGTCGCAGTGGGAACGGAGATTAATTAGATCGTGAAAAGATGGTTAATCAGCATGTTTCTTATGTTATTAAGGTGAACTGGAACTACTGCCACAAGTTTAAATAAGAACCTCCAGGGCATTGTTGATCATGGATAACTCCCTGACAGTTTGGTCGTTTTTTTCGCTGTTTTGGCTTTCAGGTAAGCCAGGGTGTTATAACTCTCAAAACATATTTTTATATATAAGAATCAGTTTTTTCCTTTTACTCACTTTTTATTCTCTCTCATTTTTCGAAGAATCTCTGTCTTGGACCATTAAACAGCCCGACAGTGTATACAGAGGATCACCGATCACACTGGAATGGACAATATCACTAACAAAAGAAGAAAAGAAAAGAGCCGATCGCTTTTCTTTGATTCTCTTGGAACGTGAGAAGTTTCTATATAGCAATCAGTGGCAGATCATGGCTGTTAAACAATATTATAATGGTATTTATCAGGAAATCGATGATGAGGACACTTTTGATGTGATTCCTGGAAAGGACATGGCGCTCAAATTGAACAATGTTACTGACACTGATGCTTCTCGATTTCGCTGCACATTTCTGAGCTCATTTGCTTCTCCGAAGAGTATCATTGAGGTAGAAATAGAAGGTGAGTCCCTGTCGTTTGTGGACGTCTCTATTCTTTAGATGTAATACGTAATCTTTTAGGCGCATCCCTGACCTTCTGGGAAGGCATATCACAATTTCAACGTGTCTCTGAATTTACCCAGCGGTTTATCTGGTTCCAGGAAGCTAACATCAGCACTGCTTTTCAAGGAACATTTGCATAATGTTTGTCTGTGGAGTACGTTCAATATGTATAGTCAGCCAGTGGAAATCTCCAAGCGTCAATAACCTGCCCTGCACCATCATTTTCCAACAGGGCAGCGGAGTACTCTGTACACTTTTAATAAGGGATGATACTTATGTTATTTCTTTTTTGTTTTAGATTCTCCGGTATACGTACGTCTTATGGACGGAACTACTCCCAATAAAGGCCGAGTAGAAGTGTACCGAAATGGATTTTGGGGCACCATCTGTAGAGACGGTTGGGATATCCTGGATGCCTCAGTTGTTTGTCGGATGTTGGGTTATGCGGGAGCCTGGAAAGCTGGCTGTTGTGAGGATTATCGGGGAGGGACTGGTCCAGTGTGGCTAAGTGAAATTTCATGTACAGGAAGAGAGAAGTCTCTATTAGAATGTGATCACAGTGGTTGGGGTGTCAATAACTGTGATCATAGAAAAGATGCTGAGATCGTATGTTACAGTCCACCGACAGAAAAACCGTCGCACTATGTCAGTTTAAAAATCGTGTCAACAAGAACACAGAAATCTCTTTTCTCTAGTACAAAAGCAGTTACATCCACAACGGCTCAGTCCATTTTGACACAGGTGTCCCCACCAACACCCTTCAGCCCAACATCAATAGAATTCCAGAAATCGTCAACCCACACTGTTCGTGTAACAGAAGCTATAGTAGTATCTCCAAGTTCATCGTCATTGGCCGTCATGTCCAGCTCTGTTATTGCCCCCTTAAATCCCAGTAAGTAGCCTCCAGTCATATTTGCAGCCTGTTAACAATTGTTGATATGCAATCACTGTCCAAGGCTTTGGCATGATTATAGACGTTCAGGTGTGTTAGCATTCTGTTGTCAGATGTGGCGATCAAGTTCTGTTTAATTAAACTCGGCTCCCGATTAGAAAAGTAATTAAGACTGAGATCAATCAGGAACTTCTATAGGTGTGTGCTTAGTGTAGAGATTAACGTCTAGAAAGCACATTTTTCAAACCCATTTGAAGATGATAGGATACAAAAGAACGTTTTTAGGCAGACACTCACCATGCAGTTCTCTTTTACAGACATGTACACCATAAAATGAAAAATGAGTCGCTCTGTTATGACATAATTGTACAGCTCAACACTGACTGCGTGTAGGTAAGTGCGTATTCAACAGTCACGATCACAATTTTGATTTCTTTAAACAGTTTTATATATTGAGCTGTTGAATGGTGGTGGTCACCCAAATCAAGGTCGTGTTTCACTTTACTACAATGGCCAGTGGGGAACAATATGCCAAGATCATTGGGACATGAATGATGCGAACGTAGTGTGTCGAATGCTGGGATACCCAGGAGCTTTTGACTTTACTAACAGGACAGTTTTTGGCAGTGCTAGCGATGGGCCAATATGGCTTGATGACGTCAACTGCACGGGAATTGAGAGCACGCTTGCAGCTTGTCCACATGCTGGCTGGGGAAAAAGTAACTGTGATCACACGAAAGATGTGGGGGTGAAATGTGACTTTAATTACACTGTAAAGGCAAAAGGTAAGGCAGAAAATATTTGCAAACTCTGCAAATTCATCAATTCCCTGTATGTCAGCTTGTGTGTCAAGTAATCGATTTGTACTTCGAAAGAAGCAAAGAAGAAGAAATATCTGAAACTCTCTCTGCAGATGCAAGCTGCTCATTTGACACTTGGTATTGCGGCTGGGAGAATGGACCAGGCAGCAAGGGGTTAACGTGGACTAGGAAGTTTGGCCCAACGATATCACATGAAACCGGACCATCCCAAGATCACACCTCTGGTAGTGGTAAGGAAAGCTTCATACCGAGGAATGTGACTGAGTGATAATGATACAATCGAACTTTTTCGTGAAGTATTTTACTGATAGAAAAAGCTCTTACTCTTTAAGCTCACGCCCAAATAAAATGATTAAAATTCTTTTATTTGTCGACCGAACTGAAAATCAACCTTTTTTCCTGGTGTTTTTGTTTCATTATTAAATGTTCATGCATTTGTTAAATTAACTCTGTCATTAAGTATCACTAACATTATTAATCGCCCAAGGGATGTCACGCAACACTCTTGTGTTACATCCAAGAGTAAACATAATTACCCTTATTTCATTGTAGTTCTTTCCCCAATGCAGGTTTTTACTTTTACATTGAGGCATCTGGACGAAGCAGGGGTGAAGTTGCTTCACTCGTGTCTCCACACATACGAAGTGATGAAAACACCACGTGTATGGTATTCTTCTATCATATGTATGGACAGTCCATTGCTACACTCACAGTGAAGGTTGAAGATCAAGTTTTGTGGCAGTTGTCAGGCAACCAGGGAAATGCTTGGTACAGAGCAACTGTGCCCCTTAATTTCAATGCAACTTACAGGGTACGGTATAGCTGATCTTTTCACAACCATTCGTCACCTGTATGAAGTAAAGTATTTCAAGACGAACGTGTGTGTGTTTGTTTTTTTTGTTGTTGTGTTTTCACCTCTTTTCACTCTATTCTTGTTTGTTTTAGGTGATGTTTGAGGGTGTTGTTGGTAGCACTGCACGTAGTGATATTGCTATCGACGATGTCGAGTTCCAGGAAAATACAGAATGCGAAAAGACAGCTGAAACGTTAGGTAAGTAGACCGCTGAATTTCGAAATTATGCCATGCTTAGGGTTAGCAAATAATGAAATAATTGAAATAATTAAGTTGAAATAATTTTTGGTATTACCAGGTACGATGTAAATATAAAAAGAGTTGCAGTTGCAATCGAACTTGCTGTTCCCGTTAGCAGTTCCCGCCAAGTGCTTCTGTCATTTCCTTCCCTCCTAGAGGAAGTATGGTCGAATGAAGAACGCCTTGCACTAGCTCTAAATCCAGAGATCCCCGGGCTCGAGAATCACTCTGATCGTTAGATCGTTAGATGGGATTGTTCCTTGCCAGTTTAAATCTACGACCACGCTTGCTAACGTCAACTAGTATGCCTCTTACTAGTTGGGGTTTTCAATCGTGTCACGCTTGAATACTATTAATAATTTTTTAGTTATTTGAGTGCGTTTAATTAGTGGACCACGATGAAAACTACAGGGTCATCAGTAGTTGTATCACCCTTAAAAATTATTTTAATCAGTGATAGTGTGAATGACGGTCAATTTGATGGAACCATACTTGTAAGACCCTTGGACATTACCTTTCTTGATAACGATCCACGATCTATAATTCGGGAAACTCGATTGAACGATTTTAACCACTTTAGTTCCTCTTTCGAAGCATACATTTGCTCATACTCTCATACTTTTTCCTTATTTTCAGTTCCGCCAAAAATCATTTGGATTTCCCCAAATCGAACAGCTGAACTTGGTAGTGAGGTTACATTAGTGTGTACCGTAACTGGTCTCCCCACACCACTTGTAGTATGGAAAAAAAATGGAAAACTTGTTTCGGAGAGTCAGGTGACTGGTAACGTCACTCTATTGAACATCACTCAGTCAGATATTGGCAGTTATGAGTGCTGGGCAATTAATGATG